ACCCTTTTCAGAGGCTCGCCTGAAAGTGCTATGAAGACCTTTAGTCCTTTGCTCTCCCTGAATCCCCAATTAGACAAACATTAACATCAATTAAGCCTTTATAGGACACAGGTTCCATATAATTACCTTAATGGGTTGACGCTTTCTTTACCAGCAATTTCTTAAACAAACTTGAGCCTTTGTGAGACGGGCTAAGAAAATTTTCAGCAGGGAGTATTTGCTTTTGTCAGGCTTTCTAAAGAGACAGACGAATTGTTCTATTTAACAACAAACACCTTCAGAGAGGAGCCTCAAGCAGGCCCAGTTCCCACCACATCTGACTCGACCGTTCCAAGCTGATTATCCAGCGGAGACAAAAAAATCTGACCAGCCGGGAGAGCGAGGACACATGCGGTGAGGGGCAGCACACAAAAGGGCCCAGTGAGCCCAGCCCAGCTATGTGAGCAGAGCACCAGAGAAAGAGCCCCTCCACTTGAATTAGCTCTCTATTTAATGTCCCAAAGAGCCAGATCCGCTCCCTGTCTGAGAAACAAAGGGGGACGAATTAGAAAAACAGGATCTCTCTTCATAAAACAAGGCAAATTCGCGCTGGCGAATCGCAAAGGAGGCGCAGTTAATTAAACGCAGACCCCGTTTTGTTCTTCCCCTTCCTGTCCTGCTGCCCATTATCTTCTCTAATCTGTAACGAGGCAGGTTGCGGTGGAGAAAAAAAAAGTGTTACGGCATCAATCATAACCTTTTATTCGTGCTTCAATAGAACTTACATGCCACAAACACGTTTATTGAATTATAAATATGGCCGAGAAGAGAATGCACTCCAGTATACTTAGTATAACCAGAAGTAGCCAAAGAAAAACCCGCTCTGACAAGGGTGCTTGAATTGAGAATTTTGGAACAAATTGCTCACGAATCAGTAGCACAAACAACACTTTAATCACGGATATTTTTATTCTACTGGCCCTGTGTGTCCCTAAAGTGTGATGATTTTATATTCAGTCACATAATAGCTTGTGCCGCAGTTCTTTACATTCACTTTTGAATGTGGTTTGATATACTGACTGATAAAGTTTTGGCGCTATAAAATACCCACTTTCTGTGACCATTATCAGTGAAAAGAAATATTCACATACAATATATATCACACACACAAACAGGTGTGGTTACATGGTCAAGCACTGATGAGAGTGGTATATATTAGGTGGCAATTGGCCTCTAGAGGGCAATGGTTCCATAGCCCACTCAGTCAGCCAACACCAGGCATCACGTGTCTGCCCCCAGTGTGAAAAGGGCTAAATATGTAAATCATGCTATTTGGCATCTATAATTGGACATACTCTTCAAAATCCTCCCTAAATATGGAAAGCTGTGTAAACCACCACACAGATATTAGCATATATACATTAAATCTACATTAGCATATAGATATTTGAAGCTAGCAAATCATGTCACCTTCATTGAAAATAAACTGTGAGTCTTTATAATAATTGTGACGTGTGTGAAACCTTGCTAATGGGAAGTGATTCATTATATCACCTCCAGTCTTCAAAAAATCACAGTCCAGAGGGTGGTATTGTTATTTGTCTCACACCTTAACAGTTGATGGAGTTGCAGAATGAAACACAAAACTGCTAGCATGGTGAAAAATTCAAAGCTAGCTTCTTCAGAGGTGAAATTTGATTAATGGCATTTAATAACCCTTTTTAATGAAGTATGTTTATTTTATTTTATTACTTTTTTTTTACTAAAAATAAATGTTTCCAACCTAGTCTCTGTAAACTATTCTAAAAAATTAACATGACAAAATGAAGCCAAATATTCACACTTGGAATATTTTTGCCATCAGTTTTGTTGAAACTACACATATCAGGCTTTGTCTGTGATACTAGGCTTTGTCTGTTTGTTCTGAGATCTAACACGAGTTTGGACACAATCTGAGGAACATTCAACAGACAATTATGTCTCAATGCAATTGCGTTGCTGTGACTATGAGAATTTCTTAATTCAAAACAAAAGCTTTCCAGCCAAAATCGTGATGCTGGCAGCCAATAAAAAAATGAAAATATTTTGAAATGTAAAATAAGACAGAGCTACTGATGTGAAAAACAATAATTACACAAAATTGTCTTATTAGAAAAAAGAACTTTAATATATCACATATTAATCTGCCACTGTTGGCATATCAAGCAATGGTAATTTTAAAATCTTAAATAGCTCTCTATGAGAAATAAGTTCTCTATGGATACATTTGAATCTGCAAATTAATGAAGCTTTAAAGAAGTAATATATATATATATATATATATATATATTTATATGCTATTTTTACTCTCAATTAAAAAATATTTCTAGATTCTGCTGCTGCTCTGTAGATTTGTGCAAATACGAGACAAATTTGCATCAGGTTTTAAAAACATTTTTATGTCTTAGTTTTGCTCTTTTGTCTTGGTTATTACTTTTACCTAAGACTTTCTATGTGTAAAGTCAAATCATTGATGATGGACACACAGCGATACAGTCTTTGTATTTAAAGCAACAAATGTCACAACAATTGAAACTCGGTTTTCCTTTGTGACTGTATGAATCCTTCAACCCATAGGAGTTAATTTCCCTTGGACTAATCAGTTATTGTCGGCTCTTTCTTTTTTTTTTTTGAGAAATATCATTCACATTCTGTCAAAATCACATAGCAATTAATGTATATTTAGATTACATTAACAACCAGAAAGTGGTAAAGCTCATAGTACTGGGCTAGGTGAATTGACATTTCAATTGGAAATCCCAGCATGATCAGTCTAATGTCTGACAAAAAAGAAAAAAAAAATATTACGACTCTTTGTTGAAACTCTATGTTTTCTAATAACCTCCAATCAATTGGAAATTGATTGCTTAATAACCATTTATTCAATCGCATATTAAATAACATTTTTAGAACTGTAAAATAAGGTCCTAATAATTACCCACTGCCATATTCTCTCAACTAATCTGTGTGAATTTATGCCTTAATTCAATATTCCCTTTTGTTCTAACCAGTAAAATGAGGACTAAAATGGATGTGGTTATTAGCTTTGGCTCCTGCTGTAAGCATTTATTACTGAAATCATTTTATCTAGCGAATAATCAGCCACTGAAATAGCTTTATCTAATGGATTTGTCTGGTTATATGAGTTCTTCAGCTTTTGCGTGTGCCACCCTCAAACTCTCCCCAACAGAAAAGAGTCCTGCTTAAGCCCTGAGACTTGCTCTAAATCACAGCTTGTCCAATCAAACCTGCTCTGTGCAGCCTGCAGTATTACATTTCCAACACCGTTAGTCTAATGAATAAATACACATGCACTTAGATTACAAACACACTTTCATTCATGTTAAAATCTCCCGGACAATATTCATTTGCAGCCCATCTCCTTCCCGGTCGGATACACGGAGTGATAATAGCCGCCACCTTTAAAAGTCATGCTCCAAGGCTTAATCTTTACAAGCAGTAAGTGGCAACATGTCCTACAAATGCGCCGAGGTGATTTTTATCTAGGAGAAGAATGCCACTTGTGTTCAGGTGGTAACGTAGTTACAGAGACTGGAATTACATGGTGAAACAATCCTCAGCTCTGTGTCTGTGCTTCTCCACTCACCACAGTGGCAAAGCCTGTCACTGGAGCCATTTAATCAATGCGTTTTAAATACATCCAAATGTTTAATGATTATAATGACTACATGCTACATCATAGCAATAGTGCACCATTCATCACATATACTATTCCTATTTCTATGAACTTGATGTCTTTTTTTCTTTTATTTAAAGGGATAGTTTACCAAAAAATGAAAATTCTGCAAAAATGTTTCTTTCTTCTGTGGAACACGAAAGAAATGTTGTCGACAGAATATTTTGTTTCTGGGTAAACTATCAGTTAAATATTTCCAAATCTGTATCATTTTTTATAAAAACAAATTAGCATTCCTAGAAATGCATGCGATATTATTTAGCGTCTATGTAGTGATATACAACGGTGCAGATAATTTCTTTTCCTTCTACTTGGGAAAGCGTACAGATGCCGCTATCTAAAATAAATGTTTCAGTGTTCTTCCCATCAAGTGGATGATTGATGTTGCCTCATTTCTGTTGGTGACCGAGTTAATACGCAACATAAATAAAGCTTGAAAACAGCTCCAGTCCGCATTTGCTCAACTAAATAAACACATCAGCACAATTTGTCAAGTCTTCAAATAGTCATCGTGGTCGACTTGCCAAAAAGGGCTGGAAGCGCGGGGCCTTTTTTTTGCCGAGTATCGGGCGTGCTTCTTTAGGAAGTGTTCAAACATGGCACCTCTCTATCTCCATTCACACCCTCTCCTCCTCATCACCTGAACTGTCTGATGCCTGTCAATCTGGAGCCGTGGGAGGATATGAAAGACGGCTTTGAGTTGTGGTGGCGTTGATGGGGAAGGGATGGAGAATAGCACACCAGTGGTGCCAGCAAGAGAAATGGTGCGGATTCTTCATTTCTCCCCATCAGCACCCAGGGCACTGTGAGGCTCTTTTAAAAGAGCAGATTGACTCCCTCTGCCCCCCTCTTGAATGAAACCCCAACCCCGAGCAGATGTCAGAGATGGGAGCCAGAGACGGGCCGTTGAGCCGGCCACGAGGTGTGAGTCTTTGTGACAGGTCCGCTGCTAAAGGACCAGACACAGCGGGGTTTTTAGCACATCCACTGGATATCTGAAGTCCCTCAGAAATGGATGGAAGGGCCATCGGGGGGTGGGAGCGGGGGGTGTTTCATTGTGAGAACCCCACTGGCTTCATTTAGCCAATGTTTACAGATGTATCCTGGGCCGCAGGAGAGCAGTTCAGCATCATGTCAAAACTACGATCGGTTTTCAGAATTGGCACTGCTGCGATGGAGGAACAGAGAGTCGCTCGGAGGTTAAGAAAATGATCCGTTTCCAAACGGATGAAGGCTAACCCAAATGACTGATGCTTAATGCGTATAATCCTGCAAATAAACAAACCTCGGCGAGCGTCCCCTTCTGCGCAGCAGCCTTGCGCTTCTTCGAGTCCTCCAGCCTTGCCAAAACGTCTCACGTATCCCTAAGAAAATAAAGAATTCGTTAAATTAGTCGCTGTGTTGACCACAACCGAAGCCCTTAATGCGAGCATGTGTGTCTCCCCAGAGCTGGTGGGCGACTTACGAGCAGAAAACATTTCAACATGGCACTCCATTTTACCAACTGATGGCAGGAACAGAATGTCTGTTATCATTTATGTATTCACGGTTGATTCTGTGAATGTAAGGGCTGAGAGCAAACGTTACGCTGCGCAGTGGCTGTGTGTACTAACCGAGTGGGATACTGATGATCAGAGTTTACTAATCACTCGAGGTGATGGGATTCGGAATTATTTCACTCTATCTGGAGTTCAACAACAGCAGATTTCGCATGCTAGTATTACTATCTTTACGGAGCAGTATGGATCGTTGTGAATGTGTGCGTGTGTGTTTGTGTGTCTCGGTGTGTGTGTGTGTTCCTTGTGGAATAATGTACCCCCTGAGGTGCTCTATCTCAGACAATACCTATCCATATCCCTTTTCTGGCGCATGTAGAGGCCCAGATGGTTTAGTATTCACTTCTCTGCCAAGCAGATGGACCTGCAATGTACTTCAATGGTCTCAATTATATATGCACACAACTACCGAGAAGGAAACCAGAAGCAGAGAAGTTTAGGACCATGATTTCGCATATTGGCCACCCACCAAGCTTGGAGGCCTCGGTGATGTCAATGTGTTCGAATGTTATGTGTAATTAATAGAAAAATGTACATCCCACAGGTGCTGCTTTTCTTCATTGAAACGACACAAAAAACATTTGCTACGGTACTTGCCAAAAGATACATTTCGTAAATTTAAAGAATGAGTATTTTTTTTAATAACCGAGGAATAGGGCTAGCAACCACAACAAACAAAAAAAAAAAAAAGAAAGAAAGAAAATCAACAACCAAAGTGTTACTGAGGAAAAAAGAAGGTGAAATTCCCAACCTAATAAAGCTGAAAAGCAGTTAACTCACCAACACAAAAATGCTCTGTGTGGTACTTCACAGCCATTACACTGCAGCATGTACCACATTTTGGACTCGCTTTTGCCTTGTGGACATAATAGAGGGTATCGATGTTGCTGTTATATTTGGTTGTCAGTATCTTCAAGTGCAAACACTGGCCAAACTGATGTAAACACTTTCTGTTTTAATAAAGACTGGTCAGGCCCAGTCTAATTGGCCTCTGTTGATGGACAAACCCCAAACGGAGAAACCTGAGAGACATGGAGAGGATTTTCTTCACTCTTGATTCAGGCACTACGACTAGAGGCTATTTTTCACCATCAGAATGATGAATAATACTAATAATATTTAAAACGGATTTAATAGATTAGGCCATTTTAAATGAATTTTAAAGCCATGTCATTTTGACCAGTTTTATTTCAATAAGGACATGATGAGACCACCGTTTTTTTAATAGTTAGGCCTAAATTGTATTTACATTTTTTTGTATTTCATTTAATTTTAATTTGTATATTGTGTGCAGTTCCTTAGTGGTTGTAACATTTCAATAAGCTTAGTAATGAAACCATGTCATGTTAAAATCACAGGCATAATTCTCCCACATCTACAGCAAGACAAATAAGTGTTAGCATTGCCACTTATTGTTACACTTGTGTAGACATGTCAACGCTTGTTTTCTTCATGCATTGAAATTTCACTGTAAAAACCTGTCAAATGGAACTTTTGAACTGTAACTTGAACTTGTTTTCGGTTAAACAAATTCTCAGATGGGCGTCACTTAGACAACACACAGTTTTCTGCTGAAGCCAGCTGCATTCTACATTGTGTTACCAATAAATACAGTCTATAGAGTTGTCTTAGCTGTCAGCTACTTATAGCTAGTATATACAAATATATAATTCTTTTACATGCTGGAGTTCAGCAAATTCCAAAAGCAGCTTTGGTTCTGGCTTCAGCTGCAAAGTTGACAGGTCAGTGGACTCTCTGCACTAACTTCTTGAAGGCAGGCATCAGACACTGTGTAATTAGATGACTGTCTGTAATTACCACTATGCCATTTCAAATGTCCAGCGTTCCTGCATTATAATCAAAAAGCAACAAACACCCAAAGCCACCTGGAGAGGTCTGTGCACATTTACTAAAAAGGGAAGAACTTCTTCAAATGACAAATAAAATGCTGTCTAGACTTTGACTAGTTATTCTTGTTATTGCTCAGCATGATGGCATGGGAACAAAAAAATTATTGGTTTTATTGGTTCTAAGTTCGAGCAAATCAACTTGATGACAAAAATCTACATAACTATAAATCTACAATCAACCTCTATATTGTCAAATTCTGTATTATTAAATTCTTAAATATTGTAATCGAATTAATTACATTATATGCGAATTAATCTCAGTTAAATAAATATATCAATAAAAACACGCATAGATGATAAAATAAATGAGGAAATGATCTCGTGTGCGCGCTATTTTTTTAATCGTTAGTTCGTTTAACGTTACCCGTTTGGCGTCGCGGTTGCAGATCGAAGTCTAATAAATATTAGACTTATTATTAATATTTATTATAAATATTAGACTATTATTAAAGATGGTAATCGAAATAATTACATGATATGCTGATTATTTAACCGTATTTATCTCTATTAAATACATAGTTTATTTATTTTAGAAAAAAACACACACAAAGGAAGATGATGAAATCAAGGAGGAAATAATCTCGCGTGTGTTATTTTCTTCTAATCTTTAGTTCGTTTACCTGTTTGGCGTCGCTGTTGCAGTTCGGCGTCTCGTGACATTAGAGCCTTGTTTTGAAATGGCGTGTCAACTGTCAAGTCTAAAGCACAGTTTGTAAAGATGCGCATCCAGACTACTATGCTGGGTACAATTTCGCTTTTCAACTGAATATCTTGTACTGTGTGAACAGCAAATTCAATTTGTGCTTCCAGCTTCATTCGCTCTGAAGGTAGGAAAGTTTACTTCCTCATTAGGGAATTTAGATACGGGTCATTGGAAATTATTAAATGTTTCGTTTTTTAAAACAACGTTTTTTTAATTAATTGGTTTATTTGTACATTTTTAACACATCATTTCTAATCGTAAATTATTAAAATGTTTAAAAAAAGCCAGCCCTGCTTTCCATGACGTAATATAGGCTACTGTTTTGCATGTGTATAAAACAAACTTCAAAAAGAAGATAATGCCCAACTACTACTACCAACAACTTCAAAGTTAGTGCCAACTATGCTTTCCACTGTGAATCCTCCCACAATATCTAAATATGGCTGCATAATTAGAAACCATTGTGTAACATAAATAAATACATCTTAAAACTAGATATTAGCTACAAGTTAGAACATCGAGACATTTTTTTCCAACTGCGAGCATAAGCTTTGAATCCAAAAGCAAGCTGAGCCTCAGACATTCGTATGTCTGCATAGCTTGCCTTTATGTCTGCACCCTTTTCACAAGTGCTTTCTGAATGAGCTCCTGTGTCTGATTCCAGCTATGACTTCCTCGTCAAGCGTCTGCTTCAGCACACACATCAGCACCCTGCTGTACCATTGTGGCCTGTATTCTCATTTCCACACTAGGCATTCCATCTACATTTGGGCCATTACAATGGTGGCCCAGCATGTTTTCTCCCCAATTCAGCTTAGCCTCTTCAGACTCTTCCATTCCTGTCCCTACATATTTTCTTTGAAATGACATATCATGTCTAGTTACTTAGAAGTATTTTAAGGAATCATATACCCAGGGATCTGATGTAGGTTTATGAAGAATGGTTCTCAAGATGTTTTAGGTCATTCAGCCAGGATATATGTAATTTGCATTATGACGTAAAGCACTTTGAAAAGTTAGGCTATTTAGTACACATCAAGTTTCATAGACGCCTGAACAGACCATTACACAGACATTTTTTTTTTTTTGAATTTTTACAGAACAGAGATGTAAATATCATAGCTTATCATCAGAACTTGGTTCTGGAGATGGGTTTGAATGGGGCTTCAGGTATTCATGGTCTTAGATAGAGTTGCTGCCATGCATGCAGTTCAATGGCAGCCATGGAGTGGGACTCTGTGGGACTTAGCAGCAGGAACAACACACCAGGCCCTCAGATAATGGACTCGCTGAATGTCTACCATCTGGTGTTTGTTTAATACACAGAGAAGGTCAAACGGCCAGCGATCCTTTTCTACTCTCCTGCATTCACTTCTTAGATTGGGGAAATCATTGATTTTACCCCTCTACCACATGATCTTTGTGTGTTGGAGCTCACTATGACAATGACAACAACCTTATTGCTTAAAACAGCACTCTGTAGGACTGAAACAACCTGAATTCAGCTCGGGAAGTGAATGCTCAGTGGTGTGTCTTTGCTTTGATTGAGGCCTCCAGACACAAATTCACCTCATGTCTTCATACATTCGGGAAGGCTTGAATTATTGGACTTTCATTTGCTTTGAGCTCCCTTGCTTATCCGGGGAGGCTGGGTGCTTTACGGCTCGATGGCTTGAAATTCATACGTTATATTACCCTTACCAGGCATTCCTTATATTGTTTTATTACGAACCTCTAGGTAAATCTACACACTCGTTGCCTTTCCATGACATCTTATAGGGCCTTGCGGTTTTGAAAGAGTGAATGGAGGCTCATTGCCTCTTTCAGTTTTATTCATGAGGCACTCGGTTGCATCATGTACCCAGGCGGTGTCCTCATCGGTGGAAGTTACACATGCTAATGATCTATTAAGTGCAAGACTGGAGAGTAAACCATGACTAACTGCAGAGCTGAGAGAGAACGGGACACGTGCGCAGTCTCATTTGGCAACAAGGCAGGCTTTCCTCTCAAATGTGAGGCAACTAAATACACTTAATTGAGAGTGAGTGGACATAGAGGACAAGGGTGAGGAATACAAGCTGGAACTTGGATTTACTTGATTACGAAAACAAATTTAAGGACCTTACTCTTTACAGTTGTTAATGAGAGATTTAATTTCATGCTAATGAGCTGGAAATATATTGTTACAACAGGAACTAAACGGAAATAGAAACTTCTTTCACTATGGATTAAATTATTCCTCCTACTGCTACACAGAGCATCATTATGTGGTGGCTGCGTCAAATCTGAGAGGGTGGGAAAATTATGTGTATTTTTACTTCATCCAACCACAGAAGAAACATGCTTGATAGAAAGATGATATAAAGATGATTAACACATTGGCACCGCACATGAGGAGCCGGTCTGTGATGCCTTAAGCCTCCTCATAGCACAGACCTCCTCAGGAGGGAAACAATGCAGCTCATTAGAATGGGCAGGGCTTCTCAGAAGTGCACAATGCTTACAACCTCCACAAGCAGGAAACAACTTTGAGCCCGGTCCCAGGAGGTCAGTAGCAGAAGTGGCAAAATCATTTAAATCTTCTTAATGAACTGTTAATAGGTCAGGTGTCTATGCCTCCCCCTTGAGTTCCTGTGTCAGTCTGCTGGATCTTCAGCCAGTCAGGAAGTGGGGGGAAACAGGTCAGGAGGTTGCACTTAAAACCCATTCCCATGGAAATAAATGCTTGTATATTCACACTAAGTGTTTTTGAAAGTGTGGCTGAGAAAATTACAGCATTACGCATGTTTTTATCTCTTATGCAACATATGTGAATTGATAGCTACAAGCACTCTGATGATATATGAAATCCAGTGCATGATTTGTGTCCATATGTTTGGCACTACCAAGGCGCGCATGCTATATCCAGCATGTCACAGATCATGGCTGTGTGTTTAGTAATTTGCTTGTTGTGGTCGTACATTACTTTTGTTACTAATTAGCAGGTCAAATCCTCGGTAGCGTAGTGAAATAGCACTTTGAATCGGTTAGTGTTAGTGCACTGCAAAACCAGCTTGATCATTTACTAGAGATAGAGGCCACTGTGATGCTAATTTTTTTCGCAAGAAAGTTCCAAGTTTTTAGCCGGCATTAACTTATATGGGTTTTAATTATAGTATTGTGTGAAATTCAAATGAAGCCTTCGGGGGATTTCATTATTTAATCAAGGAAATTCTGTCTACAATCTTTGGACTGTTTTCCTCTTTCTGCTTTTTCACATTCACTAGCATTGAGCTAATGAAAATCTTACTGCTGGATTTTGTGTCCTGGGATCTAGCACATATTTCCCAAATGCACTGATTTCATAAATATAGTTTACTACTTGTGCATGAGGTGGATTCACATTCATGTTTTATCAATTCCTCCCTTTTTTTGGCTTGATGAATGTAAAGCAAGTTGAATGCATATAGACGTATACACCATATAGCAAGTGCCTTTTTCATGGATCAGAACACATCAGTTGAGATTTATCCATGTTCGTTTTTAACAAGTGATGTTAAATATTCTAATGGGCAAAAAAAATTAAGATATCAGCCGAAGAGGTTTTCATCAAGCTCTGGTTCAATTAATTATTCAAAGATTTTAACATTTTTACAATACGCCAGAAGAAAACATTAGCCTTTTTCAAAGTATTTTTTAATTTCAGTTTGCACTGCGGAAACATTTTGATGAATTTGATGAGGGCTGGGGATTTCATGTTGTCCCACTGGGAGGAATTATTTGATTCTAAAAAGACACATCATAATGGAAAATGTGGAATGAAGGAGATTGCAATAGATTGCTGTAATTCAGACTCTTTGGCAACGTCTTAAATCGTTGCTAGCTCCAATCCCAACCATCAAAGAAATGCTTGACTACAGTGAGAACCACTGTACCACTTTTCACCACAGGTAGCGATATAATGCAGCCAATGATTAATTTTAATTAAACACATTTTGGAAAATGATATTGAATGTTTGAACCCCTGGTGCTTTAATTACTTTATTGCCTCTCAGCTCTAACTCTGAAATGCTTTGGCTGGATGACATACTGGAATATATCCTAAAAAAAAACTCACAGCTGGTATGCAGAGAGCTTCTTTTCTGATTTCTATAGTGCATTTGCTATAAGGGTGATACAATCCAAGTATGTTGAAAATTAATACCACTAAGAATGCTAATTTGCTCGCAGCCTAAGAGCTGTTTAAAATTAGCTGTGAAATTAAAGAGAACATCTAACCCGTACTGTTGACATACAGCTGCTGTTATTCGTTTTATTGTCAAATAATTGCAAACGGTGACGTAAGCAGGCTTTTTGACCTCAGAAGGTCCCTAAGTTCCCTTTAGACAGCTGGAGAAAGTGAAACGTCCTCAAGACACTTGGGTTAAGGCTCACCTTAAGTGCGGTTAAGGAGGGACAGAGAGGCCAGAGCCTCGAGTTTGGTCCTCATGAGCTCTAATGACCTGACAAAAGTCAGGATTATTGAATGTGCAGAGAGACAAATGGCATCTACAAAGTGTTTGGCCTTAAGCCTCTTGAAGATCCTCAGCCCAAACAAGACAATTCCTACAAGCCCTTTACCCATCCTTTGTCTATGGGCAGAGAAGTTGAAACAGTTTAATGGGAGGATTACCCCGACTCGAGCTGTTCTGAGAGAGATGAATTGATAAGTTCCTGTTGGGGTTAAACCAGGTGGGAGCAGCTATGCAGACGCTTTTTGTAAGCAGTTCTAGAATGGTCAAAGAGGAAGTAGTTTCACCACGGGGGAGCTGTTTGTAGTCTTTTACTCAGACGTATGTCATATAAAGACGTCTTCTTTGGAATCAGTAGGTAAAACTCAATTAGTCCTAATTTTTTCTTAAGCTCAAAACTGATTTTGCATCATGATTTCACTTTGATTAGAACACTGTTAGAAAAGAATAACATTTTATTCCCTTTAATAACAGTCACAAAGATTTGTAGCTAGTGGCATAC